TTAATAATAACACATTCGAAATTAATAACAATCCACACAAGCTTTAACAAGTTAGAAAATCTGATAGGATAGACTTAATTATACAAGCGTTAGTCATTTATTAACAAATATTCATTCAAATATTGACAACAACTTATTCAAAATTAAGAATAATCCATTCGAGTTTTAATAAGGTAGACACAAACTAATAGGATGAGTTTAATTGTATAAATATTAATCTTTAATTAACAAATATCTATTTACTTTTTAACAACACATTCGAAATTAACAACATTCATTCAAGTTTTAACAAGTTAGAAAAATTAGTAGGATGAGCTTCTTTGCACAAGGGTTAATCCTTCATCAATGAGTAGCTATTTAGGTTTTAACAACAATTCATTGAAAATTAACAACAATCTATTGGGTCTTTAATGAGTTAGAAAAACTAATAGGATGTGTTTAGTTATACAAGCATCAGTCATTCATTAACAAGCATCCATTCAAGTTTTGATAACAACTCATTTAAAATTAATAACAATTTTATTTGAGTTTTAACAAATTAGAAAAACTGATAGGATAAGTTTAATTATACAAGTATTAGTCCTTCATCAATAAGTATCTATTCAACTATTCACAATAACTCATTAAATCCATTTGAGTTTTACCAAGTTAGAAAAAATGAGATGATAAGCTAAATTGTATAAGTGTTAGTTCTTCATCAACAAATATCTATTCAGATTTTAATAATAATTCATTGAAAATTAGCAACAATCAATTCAGTCTTTAACAAGTTAAAAAATGATAGCATAGGTCTAATGGAATAAGTTTTCACCCAAACAACAATCCATTCAAATTTTAACAACTCTTTTATGATTGACAAGTGGTTAGTTCCATTATACCTGTGCTATTAGTTATTCTCACTTGCTAAATTTTAAATGAATTATTGTTAATTTTAAATGAGTTATTATTAAAACCTAAAAGGATAATTGTTGATGAATGACTTACACTTGTATAATGAAGCCCAGCCTATTAGTTATTTTAACTTATTAAAGCTCGAATGAATTGTTGTTAATTTCAAATGTTTTATTATTAAAATTCAAATAAATATTTGTTGATGAACTTGCACTTGTAGAAGCTTGGGTTAGAAGGTTAGGCTACTAAGTACATTCTTTTTTGCCATGTATCATTAAAAAGATTTGGTGGCTCAGTGGTTACCTACCCTTTTAGGTAACTAAGGGGGTTATGGGATCAAACATCCCTTGGCTACCTTCACCAAATATTTGTTAAATTTTGTTAAATTATTTTAAATTTCAGGGATACTGTGGTCATTTCTCGTGAAAACTTATTTTCAATTAAGGACCAAAGGGTTACAATATAATGTCAAAATACTACAATCATTGTTTAATATAAGTTTCTTTCAATGATCCTTAGTTGATATTTTTTCTAATTTTAAACTCATGCCATCATGCGATGATTATTTTGTAATAAAGGAATGAATGACATAAAATGAATTGCCGGAACATTGTTAAAAAGAAGCATTCTCCTTTTTTCCAAAATAAATAATGAATAAAATACAATACCTGAGAGAATAATAAAGACTTACTCCCTCCTCCATTCAAAAATATATAAAAAAAATTTGAGAAGTTGTATGTTTAAAAATATAAAGCATTTTTATTTTTTTGAAGTATAATCATTACCTTTTTTATAAAAAAAATGCTCTCATTGATAAATAATTTTATATTTATTGTAGGGTGCTTAATAGAGGTAAACATGAAAAAAAATAGAATTAATTTGAAAATAAATAACTACTTTATTATGGGTGAGATTCAGTTAAATAAGCCTTATATTTTTTAATGGAGAGAATAAATTTTAGGATCACTTTTGTTTCCCATAAAGAAAGAGAGAGGACCAACTAGTATTTATTGTTACACATGTGAATCCGGCCATGCCCACCTATATCCATAGCAATAGCATAAGATGCCAAGAAGTTAGCACATTTATTTCCTTCTCACTAGATGTGATCAATTTCAACTTGCCACCCTTTTCATAGTGTATTTAGGATAGCTTTGTTTTGTCCTAAAAATTCAACTCTGGATATACTAACTTTCCAAAGTATAGTAGGATGTGAGGATATGAGCCAAGCCATACAATATACATTGGGGAAACATAGATTAGATTGGGTTCATTTTATTTGCATATGAGACTTTTCTAACCAAAACCATGAGGATTGGTGGGTTAAATAAACCAACCCGCCAACACCAACCCATTTAACTTTTTTTTATGAAAAATTATTAAAAAAATTCATGTGTAAATAACACATGTCAATATTAGATACAACCTAAACTTCCCATTATAACATAATTATCTATGTTAATAAAACATAATTATCAAAATACATTGTAATAAAAACATAATTATCCATCATAATTTATGGTTCATTAATCTCAATCCCAAAATAAATGAGAGTCATGTCATGCCTATCAAAATTCTCGCATCAGAAGTGAGAAATGAGTGATGAATCAAAGCTTAAGCCATTTTAGAAGCAAAGAAGTCACAAATAATCAAACGCAAGAAAGAAGCAAGAAAGAAGAAGAGGGTAGATGCAACTTATAAAGCTAGGTTGAGTTTTTTTTTTTTTGTTTCCTTTATTTTTATTGAGTGGTTATAGAAATTTGAAATTTTCTTCTTTTCTCTCATACTTTTATTTTGTTTTAAAAAATATATGGATTAAGTGGGTTAACCCTAAATCTATATGGGTTAACCCATTTGGTTTAGAGACTAAATGGTTTAAGTTAAAACAAATGTTTGTACTTGGATCAAGTGTTTTTGCAATTGACATAACTAATATAACAAGTTATTTAAATCAACTCGTATAAGCTTTTTCATATTCTCAACTATATGTATATTTATTTCTGGTCCTTCTTACAAAGTTTTTCAAAATCAAAGGAGAAAATGTTGTTCACACACCAATATTATGTTATAGGGTTAAAAAGTACCTTTACTTCTATATTTTCCTTTAGTGTTGGACACCCTTTACTAATATATTTTTTCTTGAAATTATTTTTTAAAGGAGCAAAAACCCCCATCTATTAGTGATCTGTTAATGGAAGGGGATTTTTGCTTCTCTAAAAACTAATTGTAAAGTCTCGTAATTCACCCGGACTTTACTTTTACTAACCACACATTATAATATAATTACATAAATATAAGTTCTTAATTTTTTTAAAAAAATGTAGGATCCTAACTTTACTTAAAACATGTTAAACATAAATTCAAAATTCAATAAAAAGGGCTCACGAAAACACAGACAGTATTATACCCACACGTAAGAAAATCAAATAATTATTTTTTTTCAAAAACGTGTCATGCGCCGTAGCGCGTAGTATAGAGCAACCAAGTCTAGCTCTGTGCCATACACTACAGCTTACCACTATGAGCCACAGTGCATTTATTAAAATTTGTTGTCAAAATAGCTTTTCTAATACAAACTTCCATCGTACACCCTTTTCACATATGGTGTCTAATCAAAGCGATTCAAGCACCCACATGAAACATGTAAGATATATTATCTATTAGGATAAGTTTAGATATGATTTAATAATCCAATCACAAGTTGAATATTCAGGTGTAAAAAATTACTTTTCTATCAAAAACTTGCACTGTAAGTGTTCAATTTTCACATCTTGTCTTAATAAACTATTTTTAGGTCTTGAAATAAGTTCAAAAAAATTATATACACTTAATTGATATATTATATCACATATAATACAACTCATAGAATTTTATGAAATTATTATTATATTTATTTTTTATAAAATTTTATATTTTAATAATAATTTTATAAAATATTAAATTTAAATTGTTTAAAAATAAATTTGATGGTTGAGATAAAAAATAGAGAGAAGGTGAAGAGAAAAAAAAAGAAAAAATGTCAAGTACGAAAAGATGAGGTTTCTTTTTCTTCTTCAATTGTTGACATGACATGACGCTGGTGCTGATTTCCAAAACCGTACAACGCGTTCGTGAAAAGCATTAATAATTAATAATTTTTTAAAAAATAGTACAATAAACATAATATGATAAGCTGTGCAATGTTGGCTGCAACGTAAGCTTGTCTCCCTCCCCGCTTAACTGAGCTTGTCCCTTTGCCGTCCACACCTACCAAAGCTTCAGATTTGCTTCGTCTTTCATAATTTCAGTTCATAGCTTTCCGACTCGCGCTTCTTAGGTATTCCCTTGTTTTCTCTGATTTTCCTTTTGCCTTCCTATTCTTCAACACCTAAAAAAAAAAAAAAATTGAAGTTACTGCTTTGCTTGGCACTTCTTCAATTTGGTTTCTGATATATTTTCATCCGTTGTTCTCATTATCTTTTCAGTGTTACGACACGCCTTGCCTGCTTTTTCTTTTTGTAATTCTTTATTTCTCAACTTTTTCTTAAACGTCTTTTCTGAAACTTCGTTTGGATTTCTTGTATCTTCTGATTTCTGTTTTTTCTAGTATCTCCAATATTAAAAAAAAAAAAACAATTAAAGAAGTTCCTGAACCTGCTGCTTCTGCATTTGTGGGAAGCAAAATCTGTTTCCTAAAGTTGTTCCAAACACCTTTAAAAGATAGTTTCATGCTTGATCTGTGTTGGAGCACCAAGGAAAGCTGATTATTACACGGGGGTCTGAGGTTAGTACCTTAAAATCGCAAAGTTCCACATCAGTTTCTGTAAGTTTGAAAATATAGATTCATGCCGAAGTCAGAAATTGATGTGTACTTACAAGGCTCAATTTGTGGTTCCTTTTTTGCAGTGTATTGTGGTCACCTCTCAAAATATAAAGAGCAACCAGAGAACAAAAAAAAAAAAAAAAAGAAAGAAACATTTGCCAACCTTATTGAACGCAAAATTGCTAAAAGGTGTGCTTGGTCTTCTTAGTTTTAGTCTGTTTTTCTGACAACTTTTGTTTTCCTGTTCTTGCGCTTTGCTTTTTACCACTCACTGGCCCATCAGTCTAATTGGACTATGAATCAGGTGGCGCTCTAGCAGTCATCGGTCGTCACTGACTCACCACTAGGAAGCTGTCGCCATCGATCAGGCCGCCGAGCCATCTGGAGTTTTGGTACAGTAGCTCAAACATTTATGCTTGGCCTTTGTTTTGCTGTCTGATTTTTGATGGTTGCTAAGCTTTCATTTTAAAATTTTTCGCAAACCTAGCCTATAATTTAAAAGGGCGACATACATCCACGCTTACTAACTTGTTATCCACGCTTACTAACTTGTTTTCAGTGGATTCGAACCCAGCTCTCTTCTAAACTGAAGGACTAGCCGTTGTCTTGTCCCACTTTTGAGGTTAGCCTTCCTCCGTTCCTTCTTTCACTCTCCTGCACATGTAGATTCTTTTGATAGACATTTAATATTAATTTTTTAATGATTTTTATAAATTTTATTTTGATAACAAAGTATTAAAAATAAAGATAATCTTCTAATATAAATATTTTTTTAAATAAATTCTGAGTTAAAATTTTTAAATTGATTTATGATATATTTGGATGGTTAACTTATAAAAAAATTTAATTAAATTTAAACAATTCGTATTTTAATAGACTATCTAACATGTTGATCAGCTTGAAAATAAATTTCTTAATAAATATAAAATTAAAATTAAAACATTTACTTTAGTTTGTCAGATTAAATGGGGTCGACGAGGTGACGGCGACTGTGCGACTTTATCCCTTTGAAACTGTAGTTTTGAGTGCTTACATTGATTTTTTTTTTAAATTTTTAATTCTTTATTTAAAAAAATTTAGACATGTGAAAGGTTATAAAAAATTAATCATAAAATTTAATCATAAAATATAATTTTTTATTTATTACTTAATATATCTATATTTATAATGTTATGTAAATACTGTCGGATGAGTGCCCATCCAACTTTTTCTTTTTTTTTATTTGTTGTTGCTTTTTCGTTTTTCTTTTATTTGTTACTGTTACGGATGGTACTGTATATTGTTGGCCATCTGTGACTCTTTTTTTTAATTTGTTATAGATCTATAGCATCCATCTAACTGTTTCCTTATTTTTAATTTATAGATCTATAGCATCCATCTGGGATTTTCTCGTTCAATAGTATTCACATGGATCTTGCTACTAGTTTGATTGAAAAGCTTCTAGATTATACAATAAATGCTTTGGGACGGCGACTTGGTTATATGATTTTCTAGTGCAGCAACATTGATGTGCTAAGATAGTGTCACCGTCTCTGCTTTTGTTATTTCAGTTGTGTTGACACTATTAGTTAATTTTGCTCAAGTTGCACGGTCTTTCACGGGTCCGGATCTCGTCCCTTAGCATCCATAAATTCTACACCTTTAATGCATCATATCACGAGATTTTTTTTTAAACAACAGTAAAATCTCAAAGGAGAAAATTAATGACAATAAGATCTCTAACAAATTTTTTTAAAAATGACTTGTAGAAATCGATTCAGATAATTTGCAACCAGGAATTTTAATTGCATATAGTTTTAATTAGAATTTAAATATCTTACAAGTTTTTTAAAAAAAGGAGAATGACAGTGTTAAAAATTTAAAAATAGACTGTTTATTCAAATATATTTTTAATTGTGAGAGTGACAGTTAAGTCCTAACAGAGGGAGTATTTAAATATCTTACAAGTTTTTTAAAAAAGAAGAATGACAGTGCTAAAAATTTAAAAATAGACTGTTTATTCAAATATATTTTTCATTGTGAGAGTGACAGTTAAGTTTTTTTTTTTTTTCGAGAAAGAAGTTGGAGATTTATTTAAAGAATTTCAAATAATATATTTAAATTCTAAATGTAACTCTCAGCCCACAATTAAAATTCCGGTTTGCAATTGTCCGAGTCAATTTTTATAACTCATTAATTAAATAAAAATTTTTTTAGAGATCTAATTATAATTAGTTTCTTCTTTTGGAACTTTAATATTATTCTCTTTTGGGAAAACACTCTTTTGGCTTGTGCACTTTTCTTGGATTTTCTTGTAGGTCCTTGTAATTTTTTAGGTGTTATAGGTCTCTACACTCTTCTCCATTAGCAATGTTGTTATTTTTGTGCATAGATGGTGTTAATAATGTTGACATGTCTATTTATATTGTAAATTTTATGCTTACTTGTCAAACTGATGCTGACATGGATTTTTTAATAAGCAAAAATCAGGGAAAAAAAAAATGTCTGCAGAATTTAAAGAATAGCAAATAAGATATTTGAATTCTAAATGTAACTCTCAGCCTACAATTAAAATTCTGGTTTGCAATTGTCCGAGTCAATTTTTATAACTCATTAATTTACTAAAATTTTTGTCAGAGATCTAATTATAATTAGTTTCTTCTTTTGGAACTTTAATATTATTCCCTTTTGGGAAAACACTCTTTTGGATTGTGCACTTTTCTTGGATTTTCTTGTAGGTCCTTGTACTTTTTTTAGGTGTTATAGGTCTCCACTCTTCTCCAGTAGCAATGTTGTTATTTTTGTGCATAGATGGTATTAATAATGTTGACATGTCTATTTATATTGTAAATTTTATGCTTACTTGTCAAACTGATGCATTCATGGTTTTAATAAGCAAAAATCAGGGAAAAAAAATGTCTACAGAAGATGAAATAAAAAGGCCAACTTAGACTTTTTAAATGATCAACACCACAATTTCATAACCCTTTGGTCATCCTTTTTACTTCATCTGATGTAGACTTTTTTTTTAATTTAATTTTTGCTTATCAGAAATTTCAAGTTAACATCCGTTTGACATATAATTACAAAATTAACTTGATTAATTGACATGTCAGCATTACCAAAAGTAATGTGCCACACAATGTCCCTATACTAAAAAAAAAATACAAGGACTTGTACCAAAATTAGAGCAAAATGTGGGGATCAAAAGTAATGTGATTATTTAAATGGATTATGAGCCTTGTGATGTGGCACAATATGACTTTATGGATTATTTGAATGGATATGATTTACGAATGTTGAGAGATGTTGGGAAAAGAGACAATGAGAGGGATCTTTTATCTATTATATCTCATTAGTTTTCAATTCTCACTTTTTTTTTATTTTTAGTACCTAACCCTTGGATTTTTAGGGCTTGCTTGAAAACCTATTCTAAGAATAATTTTCTGTTATCCAGAACATGAGAACAAAAAATTCTATTTGTAATGTGTTTTTAAAAAGTGTTTTGAAAAATAAAAAAATAAAATATTGTCCTGGAGAATAGAAAAATAGAAACAACTTTTAGATGTTCTGTGATTATTGTTCTAGAAAATAAGGGAGAATTAAAAAAACAGATATTTTCATTATTTTTTTGTTCTCAAAACATGTTCTATAAAACATCAGTTCTTAAAATAAAAAGATAAAAATAGTTTCAAATAGTCCTTAGTTTCTTTTTCTTAAGTGTGAGTTCATTAATGTGTGTGCCTTGTCTTTGTTAACGAGAGAGAGCTTTAATATTCTTTTTTTAATCAAATCTCATTTTTATATAAATGGCCATTGTTATAGAAAAAAATTCAATAAATATGTTTTACTAGAAGCATTCATCACACAAACGAATAGATTGATCCTTATATTATAAATTACTAATTACTGATAGTAACATTAATGAACTTAGGAAGCATTGATACATACCTAGTTAGGATATTGAAGAGAGGTAATGTTGATGAAACATCCAAGCTTCAATGATCCTGATTTCATTATTGGAGATTAAAAGCTAAGTAGCTAAACACATAAAAATGATAAACTCATCTAGTTTGAGTTTATAAATTAGTTGATATGATTTTGTAAGCTAAACAAATGAAAATGATAAACTCAAAGGTAAACTTTTGAAAGTTTATATTTAATTTGAGTTTATGAATGAGTTAACACGATTTTATAAGTTAGAAACATAAAAATGTTAAACACGTAGAGTCAACTCAATAGTTTAATAACTATGTTTGCTACACTTTTTGTTAATTTTTAATCTTTAGTGGGATTTTCTTGTTCAACAGCATTCACATGGATCCCGCTACTTGTTTTATTGAAAAGCTTCTAGAAAAGCTTCTAGATTATACAATAAATGCCTTGGGACGGCAAGTTGGCTACATGATTTTCTATCGCAACAACATTGATGAGCTAAGGAGTCAAATGCAAGATCTCAATCAAAAGCAAGAAGCTATGCAACATTTAATCGACGAGGCTATAAGAAATTGTGAAAGAATTGAACTGCAAGTTGAAAGTTGGATGAGTGGAGTGGATGATATAAAAATGCAAGCAGAACAATTCTTTAATGAAGAAGGCCAATCACAAACTAGATGTAGCAGAACTTCATGCCCAAATTTATGTTCATGTTATCAACTGAGTAGAAGAGCAAAGAAGATGGCACTGAAAGTCAAAGACCTTGCAAAGAAAAAGAAAGACTTAAACAAAGTTTCACATCTTCCTTCTCCCAAATGCAGGCACTTAATAGATGACAAAATGAATGAAGGGCTTGATTCAAGGTTGCAAATTATAGATCAAGTTATGGAGGCATTGCGAAATTCGAGCATTAATATGGTCGGGTTGTGTGGGCTTGGTGGCATTGGCAAGACCACAATAGCTAAAGAGGTAGCAAAGAAGTTGGAGAATAAAAAAATGTTTAGGAAGGTGATCATGGTAACTATTTCTAAGGACATGAATATTGTAGAAATTCAAAGGCAGATTGTTGAGATGTTGGGTATGCGACTCGAGGAAGTAAATGAAGAAGTAAGATCTTCTCGTCTTTTTGATAGGTTGAAGCAAGAGGAGAATATGCTCCCAATATTGGATGATCTTTGGGGAGAACTTGATTTTGGAAAAGTTGGAATTCCCTTTATTGGGGACAAAAATAATAACAAAAAGAATGAAGGTTGCAAAATCTTACTGACTTCAAGAAATAAAACACTACTTTCAGACGTAATGAAATGTGAAAAGATCATCGGAGTGGGTGTTTTGCAAGAAGAAGAAGCACAGGAGTTGTTCAAGAGGATTGCTGAACTTTCTATTGAATCAAGCAATCCTGGTTTGATGTCTATAGCCGGTGAGATTGTTCAAAAGTGTGGAGGGTTGCCGCTAGCAATTGTTACAGCTGCAAAAGCATTGAGGAATAAAGATCAAAATATATGGGAAGATGCCCTTACACGATTGAGAAATCCTTTACGGAGAAACATCACAGGAATTAAAGAGGTGGATCAGATTTTAAGGTTGAGCTACGATCAGCTAACCAAAGAGAACCAACATATTTTCTTGTTCTCATCCATGTTGTCTCATGATCCCTTAATTCAAGACTTGCTCATGTACTCTGTGGGGTTAGGTTTTCTTAAACACATTGAAAACATGGAAGATGCTCGAGTCGGAATATCTGCTGTTGTAAGTAAGCTAAAATCATTGAATTTATTTCTTGATAGCTTTTCTAGTCAACATTTTACCATCCATGATGTCATTCGGGATGTTGCACTATCTATTGCATCCAATGAATTATGTGCCTTCATTTGGAGACATAAAAGGTTGAATGCATGGCCAGAGCAGAATTTGCTAGAAGGCTACAAGGGAATTTGCTTAGAAAAAAGTGACATTAGGGATCTTCCAGAAGAGTTACTTGCTCCAAGGTTAGAATTCTTCCTATTAAATAGTGAAAATCGTGATTTGGCCATACCGGATACCTTTTTCAAATCTACAAAAGATCTTAAATTGTTGAGTTTTATCAATGTGTGCTTTTCATCATTGCCATTTCTTAATTCTCTAAAAAAGCTCAAAACTTTATGCCTCCATTCTTGTTTGTTGAAAGACATGACTCAGGTTGGAAGCTTGAAGCAATTAACAACCTTGAGTCTTGCTTATTCTGAAATTGAACATTTGCCATTTGAATTGGCGATGTTGACTTCATTACAAATGCTAAATCTAGCCCATTGCACTAAACTTAAAGTGATTCCACCAAAACTCCTATCTAGCTGGGAAAAATTGGAGGTTCTGAGCATGGAAAACAGCTTTAACCAGTGGGAAGCCAAAGGATCGAGTGAATGTAATGTAAATGCAAGTCTTGTTGAGTTAAAGGACTTGCCAATCTCTTCTCTAGATATTTGTATTCCTGATCCCTCTATTTTGCCAGAGAATTTGTTCTCAGATAAGAAATTGAAGAGATACAGAATAATTATTGGAGAGAATTGGAGATGGGATTGCAATCACGAAACTTCAAAGACATTGAAACTTGAGCTAAATGAAAATGTCCATTCGAAGCATGGGGTTCAGAAGTTATTGGAAGGAGTTGAAGATTTGTATTTGTGTGGATCCAATGGTCTTGAACATGTTCTTCACAATAGATTTCCATATTTAAGGCATCTTCAGATTAAAAGTAATGACGATGTTGAATATATTGTTTTGAGCTCAACCCATCAAGAAGTTGCCCTCCCAATGCTTGAAACTTTGAACCTTGAAAAGTTGAATGTGCTAAAGAAGTTATGTCAAGGACCAATTGCGCCCACCTTCTTCCAAAACCTAAAAGTAATCAAAGTGAGTGGTTGTCAACAGTTGAAGTGGATTTTCTCAGCTTCAATGATTGGATCATTTTCGCAGCTTGTTGAGATTGAAATTAGAGATTGTGACTCTTTGAAAGAGGTAGTGACATCTGCTATTGAAGACTCATCTGATCAGCCAAAATTTGCTAATGACGTCATTGTTTTCAAGAAGTTACGCACTTTGAAGATGGAAAGATTGCCAGTTCTTATAGATTTCTACATGCAGGGTAGAGCAGCAAATAACCATTATAATACAGCTTCGAAATCACTCTTCAACAATAAGGTATGTTTAGATTATTTTATTCTTACTTTTTCACTAGAATTACTTTGCTATATGGCTTTTGTGGCACTTTGTAGGTTTTCATTTACTTTTTAAATTACTTAAAATAAGCCAATAAAAGCAAGAAACTAACTGTAAGTATTAATTTGTTTTGAATCCCCAAAAAAAGGCTTGAATTTCGATGTTTGGGAGTTTATGTTTTTATGATTTTTTTTAATGAAACGAGCAATGTATAATGCTAGCTAACAAGAAGAAATGGCGAAACTAACGAGAAGACCGAGAACTTAAAAAGCCAACACAAATCTTTTAAGAAAACAAAGAGAGATTATTTTCTGAATATAAAGTAGGCATAGCATTCGCAAGAAATTTTATATTCAATTTTTAGATTTATATATTGTTTAATTTTAAATCACTTTTCATCAAGAAGATATGTTTAAACTATTTTGATCTTATTTTTACTTTTTTTAACTACTTAAAATCTTGAGACTTATCAAAATAATTTTCACTAGCATTACTTTACTATTAGGTTGTTATAGCAATTTGCAATTTTTTTATTTTTTTAATTACTATTTTTCTTATGAACTTCATATTTTACTTCCCCTTCTATGTTGTTGTAGCACTATAAATTTTAATTTTACACATCGCCGCAAATTGATGGATTATAATATTTTTGAAATTAAGTTAATCATGCCTTTTCAATCACTCAAGACACCTACATTTTTAGATAAGGGAAGAAAATGACTGTGTTATTGTGTAGAGAGAGTGTTGAAAGTAGTTGATTTGTATATGTGAATTAAAAAGAAAACTTAAATTAATTAGAATGTATTAGTTTCTTGTTCAATTTTTCTTGTGAAGACAATTCAATGCTGCCATTGTATTGGTTTTGTGTTTGAATTTAAACTTTTATCAATTTCTTGAAAAAAAATGATAGTAGATATGAAATCTTTGTTTAGACATGTAAACAATCTTGCTCGAAAAATAAGCCTACATACCAAAAGTGAATTTCTTTTAATAATCATATTTTCTTTAAACAGGTGTTATTTCAGATGTTGGAGCTATTGGAACTGTCAGATTTAGACAATTTGATTTCATCTATATGGAATGATCAGCCTTCCGACAGCTCGTTTAGTAACTTGAAAAGACTAGATGTGGATAGCTGTGGCTTTGTGGTATTAGTGCCCTTCCAAGTTCTAAGATCCTTACATAGTTTGGAAGAACTAGCAGTGGGACAGTGTGAGAACTTGGAGGTGGTGTTTGACCTAGATGATTTGAATGACTGTAAAGAGAGACAGTCATCTTCAGTGGTTCTACCATTGAAGAAGTTAAGCTTATGGAGTTTGCCAAAATTGAAGAATGTGTGGAGCAATCACCACCAAGGAAATGTCTCCTTCCAAAGTCTAAGCCAAATTGATTCAAAATATTCTCTGCTCTCCTGCAACAAGGTACCTTTTTAATGAGCTCTAATAAAAGAACAAAAAACTAACTTTAAGCATTAAAAAAAATAATGAAACACTGAATTTACTACCTAAAAAAAACTTTGAAATCACTTTTGAACAACAAATTATGTTTAATCTTTTTACTTTTTCTCGTTTTAACTTCCTAAACTATTGTGGAATTGTGTAGGTTTTTGTAGGTTTTCTTTGTTTTTTTTAAACTACTTAATATAAGCTAGTAAAAGAGAAATTAACTGTTAGCATTAAAATTAAAAATGAAAACTACGAATTATTTTATTCTTACTTTTTTTTGTTTTAACTTCCTAATTTGTGAAATTCGTTTTTCACTAGAATTATTTTGCTATGGACCTTTTGTTGCACTTTGCGTGTTTTCTTTTCTTTCCAAAATTGTAAGCATCAAATTATTTTTTTTTGCATTCAAAATAAAAAAAGCTTGAATTCAAGCAATGTAAAATGCAAGCTAATATAGGAGAAAAGAAAAACTCTCTAGAAGTTTGAGAAGTTAAAAAGCCTAGACTCAAAACTTAAAAAAAAACAGAGACGTTATTTTTTGAATATGAAGTAAGCACAGCATTCACTTGAAATTTTATATTCAATTTTCATGTTTATATTTTGTTCTTAAATTTTTGAATTTCTTTTCATCAAAAATATCTGTTTAAATTATTTTGTTCTTATTTTTCCTTGTTTTACCAATTTAAAAACTTGAGAATTATCTTCGAAAATCATTTTCACTAGCATTACTTTAGTATTAGGCTATGATGGAATTTTGCAGTTTTTTTAATTACTTTTTTATTATGAACTTCATATTTTACTTCCCCTCTACGATGTTGTACCTCTATAAATTTCAATTTAACACATTGTAGCAAACTGATGGATTATAATTTTTTAAAATTAATGTAACAATGCCTTTTCAACTACTCAATACTCGTAAATTTGTAGATCTAAGGGAAGAAAATGATTGTGTTATCTCTTAGAGATAGTGTTGAAAGTAGTTGATTAGCATACGTTAATTAAACAAAAAACTTAATTAATTAGAATGTATTGGTTACTTATTCGATTTTCTGTTTAAAGACATTTTTTATGCGGCAATTTTATCATTATTTTATTGTTTTTATGTTTGAATTTAAACTTTTATCAATTTCTTGAAAAATATGATAGTAGATATGAAACCTTTGTTTAGACATGTAAACAATCTTGCTCGAAAAATAAGCCTACAGATCAAAAGTGAATTTCTTTTAATCATATTTTCTTTAAACAGGTGTTATTTCCGATGTTGGAGCGATTGGAACTGTCAGATTTAGACAATTTGACTTCATCTAGATGGAATGATCAGCTTTTTGACAGCTCAGTTAGTAACTTGAAAAGACTATTTGTGTGGTCGTGTGGCTTTGTGATATTAGTGCCCTTCCAAGTTCTAAGATCCTTGCATAGTTTGGAAGAACTAGAAGTGGAAGAGTGTGAGAAGTTGGAGGTGGTGTTTGATTTAGAAGATTTGAATGATTGTAAAGAGCCACAATCATCATCAGTGGTTGTGCCATTGAAGAAGTTACGACTATCTAGGTTGCCAAAACTGAAGAATGTGTGGGGCAAGCACCACCAAGAAAATGTCTCCTTCCAAAGTCTAAGGCAGATAGAAGTATTGTTTTGTGAAAGCCTAACGAGTGTGTTTCCTGCATCTATAGCCAGAGGCATGCTTCATTGTCTTGAACAACTTGTAGTTCGAAATTGTGCTGATATGGAAGTAATTGTTGCAAAGGATCAAGTTTCAGAATCTCTTGATGCTGCCTTTGTGCGTCCTAGGCTGACTTCCCTTGAGCTTTTTGACCTTCCAAATTTGAGGAACTTCTATGCACAAAGACACAAATTAGAATGGCCCAACGTTCAACAGTTAGAGACTGACGCTTGTGGTGAAATACAGATATTTGAAAAGGTCTCAAGTTCATCAGAAATACATGGGGAAGAGAGTACAATAGACTCAATATATCCTCTGCTCTCCTGCAACAAGGTACCTTTCCAATGAGCTGTAGTAAAAGAACGAAAAACTATAAGGATTAAAAAAATAATGAAACACTAAATTTACTACCTAAAAAAAAAACTCTTGGAAATATGATTTAAAAAAAAAACACTAAATTTGTTGAAAAATATGATAGTAGATTTAAAATCTTTGTTTAGACATGTAAGCAATCTTTCATTAAAAGGAAGCCAATAGATCAATAGTGAATTTCTTTTAGTCATATTTATTTAAAAAAGTGTTATTTTCTATGTTGGAGTTATTGGCACTGTTAGATTTAAACAATTTGATTTCATTTATATAGGATGATCGATTCTTAGTCAACTTGTTTAGTAACTTGAAAGAACTATTTGTGGAGAGGTGTGGCTTTGTGATTTTAGTGCCCCTTCAACTTCTAAAATCCTTACATAGTTTGGAAGAACTAACAGTGAATAAGTGTGAGGAGTTGGAGGTGGTGTTTGATTTAGAAGACTTGAATGATTGTGAAAGAGACAATCATCATCAGTGGTTGTGCCATTGAAGAAGTTAATACTAGAGGATTTGCCAAAACTGAAGAATGTATGGAGCAATCACCATCGAGGAAATGTCTCCTTCCAAACTTCAAGGCAGATTGATTCAAAATATCCTCTGCATTCTCGCAACAAGGTACCTTTCTAATGAGCTCTAATATAAGAACAAAAAACTAACTTGAAGTATTAAAAAAATAATGAAATACCGAATTTACTACGTAAAAAAAAAAAACTTTGAAATCACTTTTGAACGACAAATGATGTTTAAATTTTTTTACTTTTACTTTTTCTTGTCTTAACTTCCTAAAAAGTTTAAAATTAATTATTGGCAAAATTCGTTTTCACAAGAATGACATTGCTATGTGGCTATCGTGGCGTTGTGTAGGTTTTTGTAGGCTTTCTTTGTTTTTTTCAAACTACTTAATATAAGATAGTAAAAGAGAAATTAACTGTTAGCGTTAAAATAAAAAATGAAAACTACAAATTATTTGTTTTGCATTCTGAAAAGAATGAGCCATGATTTTTATATGAAGTTTTTCTTCTTCTATATTTATTTTTTATATGAAACGGGTATTGCTTGCTGACTTTGTGATAGAGCATCAAATACAGATTGCATTAATTAAAACTTTGGTATCACTTTTCAACCAAACGGTATGTTGAGATTATTTTATTCTTACCTTTTCTTGTTTTAACTTCCTAATTTGTGAAATTCATTTTTCACTAGAATTATTTTGCCATGAGGCTTTTGTGGCACTTTGTGTATTTTCTTTTATTTTTTAAATTACTTAAAATAAGCTAATGAAAGATAGAAAATAACTGTAAGCATCAGATTAAAAAAAAATTAAACATCAAATTATTTGTTTTGCATTCAAAATAAAAAAGCTTGTATTCAACGTTTTGATTTTTTTTTTTTTGGTTTTCTTTTCTTTTTTATGGTTGAAACAAGCAATGCATAATGCAAGCTAATATGGGAGAAAAGAAAAACTATTAGAAGTCTGAGAAGTTAAAAAACTTAGACTTAAAACTTCAAAAAGAAAGAGGTTATTTTTTGAATATGAAGTAGGCATAGCATTCACTTAAAATTTTATATTCGCTTTTCACATTTATATTTTGTTCTTAAAACTTTTGGATCACTTTTCATCAAAAAGATCTGTTTAAATTATTTTGTTCTTATATTTTTTTGTTTCAGCAATTTAAAAACTTGAAACTTAACATTTTCACTAGCATTACTTTAGTATTAGGCTATGGTAGAATTTTGCAGTTTTTTTATTTTTAATTACTTTTTTATTATGAACTTTATATTTTACTTCCCTTCTACAATGTTGTAGCTCTATAAATTTTAATTTTACACATTGCCACAAACTGATAGATTGTAATTTTTTAAAATTGATGTCACTATGCCTTTTCAACTACTCAATACAGGTAAATTTGCAGATCTAGGGGAAGAAAATGATTGTGTTATATCTTAGAGATAGTCTTGAAAGTAGTTGATTAGTATACATGAATTAAAGAGAGAACTTAATTAATTAGAATGTATTGGTTACTTATTCGATTTTCCTTTTAAAGACATTTTTTATGCTGCAATTTTATCATTATTTTATTGGCTTTATGTTTGAATTTAAACTTTTACCAATTTCTTGAAAAATATGATAGTAGATCTGAAATCTTTGGTTGGACATGGAAGCAATCTTTCATTAAAAGTAAGCCAAGAGATCAAAAGTAAATTTCTTTTAAACATATTTCTTTTAATAGGTTTTATTTTCTATGTTGGAGTTATTGGCACTGTCAGATTTAGACAATTTGATTTCGTTTAAATAGGATGATCGATTTTCAGTCAACCTGTTTAGTAACTTGAAAGAACTAGTTGTGGAGAGGTGTGGTTCTATGAGATTAGTGCCCTTCCAAGTTATAAGATCCTTAAACAGTTTGGAAGAACTACAAGTGACAGATTGTGAGAAGTTGGAGGTGGTGTTTGATTTAGAAGACTTGAATGATTGTGAAGAGGGACAATCATCATCAGTGGTTGTGCCATTGAAGAAGTTAATACTAGAGAATTTGCCAAAACTGAAGAATGTGTGGAGCAATCACCACCGAGGAAATGTCTCCTTCCAAACTTCAAGGCAGATTGATTCAAAAAATCCTCTGCTCTCTCGCAACAAGGTACCTTTCTAATGAGCTCTAATATAAGAACAAAAAACTAACTTTAAGCATTAAAATAATAATGAAATACCGAATTTACTATGTAAAAAAAAACTTTGAAATCACTTTTGAACGGCAATGATGTTTAAATTTTTTTACTTTTACTTTTTCTTGTCTTAACTTTCTAAAAAGTTCAAAATTAATTATTGGCAAAATTTGTTTTCACAAGAATGACATTGCTATGTGGCTATCGTGGCGTTGTGTAGGTCTTTGTAGGCTTTCTTTGTTTTTTTTGAAACTACTTAGTATAAGCTAGTAAAAGAGAAATTAACTGTTAGCGTTAAAATAAAAAATGAAAACTACAAATTATTTGTTTTGCATTCTGAAAAGAATGAGCCATGATTTTTATATGAAGTTTTTCTTCTTCTATATTTATTTTTTATATGAAACGGGTATTGCTTGCTGACTTTGTGATAGAGCATCAAATACGGATTGCATTAATTAAAACTTTGGTATCACTTTTCAACCAAACGGTATGTTGAGATTATTTTATTCTTACCTTTTCTTGTTTTAACTTCCTAATTTGTGAAATTCATTTTTCACTGGAATTATTTTGCCATGAGGCTTTTGTGGCACTTTGTGTATTTTCTTTTATTTTCTAAATTACTTAAAATAAGCTAATGAAAGATAGAAAATAACTGTAAGCATCAGATTAAAAAAAAAATTAAACATCAAATTATTTGTTTTGCATTCAAAATAAAAAAGCTTGTATTCAACGTTCAGATTTTTTTTTTGGTTTTCTTTTCTTTTTTGTGGATGAAACAAGCAATGCATAATGCAAGCTAATATGGGAGAAAAGAAAAACTATTAGAAGTCTGAGAAGTTAAAAAACCTAGACTTAAAACTTAAAAAAAAAAACAAAGGTTATTTTTTAAATATGAAGTAGGCATAGCATTCACTTGAAATTTTATATTCGCTTTTCATATTTATATTTTGTTCTTAAAACTTTTGGATCACTTTTCATCAAAAAGATCTTTTTTAATTATTTTGTTCTTATATTTTCTTGTTTCAGCAATTTTAAAACTTGAGACTTATCTTTGGTATTAGGCTATGATGGAATTTTGCAGTTTTTTTATTTTTAATTACTTTTTTATTATGAACTTTATATTTTACTTCCCCTCTAAGCTCTATAAATTTTAATTTTACACATCGCCGCAAACTGATAGATTGTAATTTTTTAAAATTGATGTCACTATGCCTTTTCAACTACTCAATACACGTAAATTTGTAGATCTAAGGAAAGAAAATGATTGTGTAATCTTAGAGATAGTGTTGAAAGCAATTGATTACTATAGGTGAATTAAAAAAGAAAACCTAATTAAGTATGTATTAGTTACTTATTCGATTTTCCTTTTAAAGACATTTTTTATGCTGCAATTTTATCGTTATTTTATAGGCTTTATGTTTGAATTTAAACTTTTACCAATTTCTTGAAAAATATGATAGTAGATCTGAAATCTTGGGTTAGACATGGAAGCAATCTTTCATTAAAAGTAAGCCAAGAGATCAAAAGTAAATTTCTTTTAAACATATTTCTTTAAATAGGTGTTATTTCTTATGTTGGAGTTATTGACACTGTCAGATTTAAACAATTTGATTTCATTTATATAGGATGATCGATTCTCAGTCAACTTGTTTAGTAACTTGAAAGAACTAGATGTGGGGAGGTGTGGCTTTGTGATATTAGTGCCCTTCCAAGTTTTAAGATCGTTACACAGTTTGGAAGTACTACTAATGAATGGGTGTGAGGAGTTGGAGGTGGTGTTTAATTTAGAAGACTTGAATGATTGTAAAGAGCCACAATCATCATCAGTGGTTTTGCTATTGAAGAATTTAAGTCTATGGAATTTGCCAAAACTGAAGAATGTGTGGAGCAATCACCACCGAGAAAATGTCTCCTTCCAAAGTCTAAGGCAGATAGAAGTTGTTAATTGTGGCAGCCTGATGAGTGTGTTTACTGCATCTATAGCCAGAGGCATGCTTCATTGTCTTGAACAACTTGTAGTTCGAAATTGTGCTGATATGGAAGTAATTGTTGCAACAGATCAAGTTTCAGAATCTCTTGATGCTGCATTTGTGCGTCCTAGGCTGACTTGCCTTGAGCTTAAGCACCTTCCAAATTTGAGGAACTTCTATGCACAGAGACACAAATTAGAATGGCCCCACCTTCATAAGTTATTTATTGACGATTGTGATGAAATAGAGTTATTTGAAAAGGATGTCTCAAGTTCATCAGAAGTACATGGGAAAGAGGGTACAATAGACTCAAAATATCCTCTGCTCTCCTGCAACAAGGTACCTTTCCAATGAGTTGTAATAGAAGAATGAAAACCTTTAAGCATTAAAAAAATAATGAAAGACCGAATTTACTACCTAAAGAAAAAACTCTTGAAATTGATGCTTTTAAACATATGAATGATTCTTATGATTAGAATATTTAGTAGAATGTAGTTTAGAATTTGATGACCAGGTCTTAAAAATGAAATAGTGTAAACTGCATGATAAATACTTTAATTAATCAATAGACTTTTTTTTTTTCTTTCTTTCGATAAGAGGAATTCTAATTTTTGAGTCTTCACACAAAAGAGGTGCACGATGAAGTTGGGGAGGGGAGTGTTTTTTTTTTTTTAATTGTTGTAAGCTTTAATTTTATATTTTGTTTTGAAATATAAAGGAGTAAAAACATTGGAATGGCACAACAGAAGATTGGCACTCTAGGAATTCATATTGACCTTAATTTCATCTTAATTACAAGTTTAAGTTAATTTAAAAATTAAAGCATATGCTTTTTTATGTATTGTGCAGGTTATTGACACTCTGGAGGAGTTGAAATTATGTGGAAAAGAAGCGGAGATGATGGGAAGCGGGCAGTTTCCAACGTATCGCTTCCCCAAAGTGAAAGATCTTTTTCTAATTACTAAGAAAGCAACAATTATATTGTACAGATCATTGTTGAACTGCTTCCCAAATTTAGAGCACCTTCAGCTGAAGGGTGAGTTTAAGGATCCTTTTAGAGGGCATGATGTTGCTGCACTTCTTTTTCCCTTTCAAAAACTGACTCTTCGCGATATTGCTTATACGATAAGCTTGGGACCATCCTTTGTTTCTTTGACAATACCAAATCTCACACATCTCCAAGTGTTGTCCGCTAGGGTGACCACTTTGCTAACGTCGCTAGCAGCTCGAAGCTTGGTCCATCTCACACACCTCACAGTTTTACAGTGCAATCAAATAGAAGAAATAATAGCAAAGCAAGAGGGAGAGGATGACGAGGACCAGGATATTATTTTCAGCAAACTGGAGCGTTTACAACTTTATGGCTTGCCAAAATTGAAGAGATTTTGTGGCCATAATTATACCTTCAATTTTCCATTATTGGATGATGTCAATATAGCATATTGTGGTCAACTCTCAACATTCTGTCTTGGAGCTATACGTACCCCGCGCCTTCAAAGCATTAAAGTGGATTTTAAAAATAAACATATTTGGAAGAGCGATCTTAACGAGACCATCCAATATCATTTCACTGGTCAACAGGTATGCAAAACATCTACTTGCATTCTTTATTTTCCACTTTTTTAAAATTCCTCACCTCCAAAATTTAGCATTTCACAAATATTTCAAACAAATATTCAAGTTTCAACATTCTATCGACACCTATAAATTATAAACATTTCATATTATATGGCTCCATTCTAATTGTATGCCAATGATGGCTGATGAATGTGGTAGGCTGTGAGTAATCCTATTATAGTTGTGATCATTCTTCTTAGGATTCTTTTATACATAAAGTAAGGGGGCACTAAAATTATTTAAAATATTTTTTTTTATTTTAAAGAATCAAATTTATTTTAGATAGGAAATTAATAATAAAAACTACTCCTCCTACACTACAATATAATTCATTTTTAACTAATTTATATTTTTAAATAAAGTTGGTTAAAGTCTTTATTTTTTAAAAATTTTCACATCTTTTCAATTGTGCCCTTGAGTGTAGCAAATATAACATTTAACTTATTGAAAACACTTTCATTAATTACTCATTAAAGTAAGAGTGTGATTGAAAAAAAGTATATAACACCTAACCCAACATCCTAAATTTTGAACCATACAAAACCTTTAAAAAATGACTTATATTGTGGTTCAAAAGGGATATAATTATTAGAAAATGTCAAAAAGATCACTAATTGATTATAAAAGATTTTATCTTCAATAAAATAAGAATTAATTTATTTATATAGTTTTTTTTGGCCACCCGTTGATTCATGGTCTAATTTGTCACTCACAAGGATGCTGAGTCATAATTCAAACAGAAGAGCAAGATATGGAATGTTTTCTTTGTTTTAAAATTACAATTCTTTTCAAGTAAACTAATATGATGGTTTGGTATTGCAGGATGTCGTTAATATATAGAAGGGGAGTCCATCATTTATTGGTGCAGGTTTGTAGTTTCAAGCTAGATTTTTTTTTTTTTTTTTTGCTAAAGAGCTTTCTCTTTTCTTAATCTATATCTCGTCTTCTTTTTCTTTTTTTTCCCTACGTTGTCTGATCTTTTCTGTCACTTAAAATTATAGTTTCTTGTTAAAATTTATTTCAACATTTCTTTTCTTGTAGTAGTTTTTATAATATCAACAAAAGCTTCATATTTTAAGAGATGAAACATGGATGTCAATTTTTCTTTTCTTCAATACATTCTCTCCATTGTAGTTGAGTTTGATTGAAAAACAGTGAACAATTTTTTTATTTATTTTATGCAGACTAGCTATGGTTTAGAAAAATAACAGTTGGCACTTTTAAAAATATAAAAAAGAATGATTTTGATAATGATTCTCCCAACTTTTAAACCCAATTTTTCCACAATATATACTATACATGGATATAGGCAGGATATCAACATAACAGACTCATCTTTTCTTCCTTGCTTGATAAATGCAGGTTATGTTTGTGGTGATGTTGACCCTTGATTAAATAAGATGACCAATGTGTTATGATTGTAAGGTTTTCATTCAACAACTGTGTCGTTTGCTTTGTTAAGACATATTGGTATCATTGACATGTGGCTAAGATTATTTTAAAAGGTTGGTTTTTGATGAATGCATGGAATGATATAACAACAATGGAGCTAATGACCTTTTTGTCTTTTGATTCAGATGATCTTTATTCAAAATTCTCCAGAAGTAACAAAACTTCAAGGACCTAGTTGTCCTTTAATAGCTTTAATTTTTTGCACGTATACACTACTGGCATTTGAAATAGGTATATTTTGATCCTTGGAAAACCAGAAGTAGTTCCCTATACTTCCCCAAAGTCAAATTCAAATATCTTTGCTTTCTTCTTCTCTTGCACTTTATCCAGCAATACTAAATGTTAGCTAGAATATACAAATAGTAGTATACAATTGACAATTACAAGGAAGCAAAGCAAGATTGGCCCAATCACACAGTAGTGACACATGCTCATATATCTCCACATTCCCTTGACAACAAAACCCCAAGTATTGTGTTCGCTTGACATTATTTTGAGTCGTTCACATTCCGTGTTTATCGTAATGATGAGCACGGGTGCTCATCAACTTTTTAGGCTCATGTTGATTACATCTTCAATCAATTTCTACGTTCATTTTAAATTAGTTTTTAGATGTTTTTAATATTATGTTGTTAAAATAAAAATTTATAAAAAACATGAAAATTTTAATTTTAAATCTGGATTGTCTCTCACGCTCAGCAAGACATGAGTATTTTAGTATTCATCACAAATAATGAAATCTAGATTGTTTAGGCTTAAACCTTTTTTTATTTTTATTTTATATTTACCTTCCAATAAGTTGTGCCATACCCAAGGTCTTCAACATGTATGGAATTAACCAGCTTGTGTACGCTTTGTGGACAATGTTGATGCATTTGTCCTTTTTGGCTGACTTGTATGTAGAGTCAAGTAGTGATAATATATAGATTTTCATGTTTGTAACTTTGAAGGTTGCTTGAATATTCTTTTCAGTTGTAGCATGAGGAATATGTCATTGTGTGTCTCTGACATATATATATATATATATATATATATATGTAACACAACAATTACTGTTGATTTGTTCTCTAGATCACAACATTTGTTTCTCTCAAGCAAAATGACTTTTTTTGTATTTATTAATTATGAAATTGATGCTTGTTAAAATAAAACAGTGATTTATTTTTCACAAATATTTAATATATTTTCTATTTGATCTACTATATATTTGAAATTAAACTTTTATCAATATCTTGAAAAATATTATGTGGATTAGATTGAGAGTTATATTTTCAGACACTTAAACAAGACTACTGATCAACAGTGATGCTTGTTTATTTTAATCTTTTTTTTTTTTCTTTAACAGAGATTGCTTTCGAAGATTGATATAGTAAAATTACCCAAATTAAACATTTTGATTCAATTGTTATGGGATGACCAACTTTCACACAGCTCATTTAGGAACTTGTCGAGAGCTGAGACTTTGTGAAATTTGTGCCCTTTCATGTGTTAAAAATCTTTAAAACAATTTACAAAAACTAGGAGTGAGTAAATTAAATGTGATATGATAGAGGTGGTGTTTGATTTTGAAGATTTGAGTAATTTTAAAGAAATACAGCTACTAATAGTTATTCCTACATCTATAGCCAAAGGAGTGTGCATCATCTTGAAGAACTTCAAATAGAAGTAATTATTGCAAAAGGTCAAGTTTCAGAATCCGTTGATTTTACATTTTTTCTCCCCTAGGCTGACTTGCCTTGAGCTTTTTAGGCTTCCAAATTTGAGGAACGTCTATATAAAGAGGCTTCCAAATTTGAGGAACTTCTATATAAAGAGACACACAGTAGCACTACCTTAAAAAATATATATATATTTAGACAGTTAGAAATCCATCTCTAAATAGCTTAAAATCTGTCTCTGACTATTTAGTGACGACTTTAAAAATGAATCACAAGATGCCACTAAAAGTCATATTACTAAATAATTAGAGGCAATTTTGTTGCCCGACTCTAATTTGAGAGGATGTGCTTTTGTTTCTAAATTAAAATTTACTCTGACTCTAATTTTCTTTTAAAATTGTCACCTTGAACCTTGCAGAGAGAGATATAATTCATCTCAAAATCCGTTTCTAAATTTAGAGATGAATTTTAATTCATCACTAAAATAATTATATATAATTCATATATTGTTAGAGGTGGATTATTCTCCCTCTAAATCCGTCTCAAAAATATATATTTTTTAAACAAAATATTTCTCTTCATTCCTCCATTATGTTAATCCTTTGCAAATTTTTGACACTAATTTAATAGCGAGAAAGAAAAATTCATAACAAGATATTGCCTGAAACATAGAACATATAATTTGCTTTAAATACAATAAACAACATATAATAGTTTATAAAAGATGTTACATGGTCTTCTCCTGCCAAAATAAAAGATATCATTGTTCTGCAATTCTTCAAACTAAACCTAACAAGGGGGAAAAAAAACTATCTGCATGAAAAGCTTCAAGCTTATACTTATTCCTAAAATAAAAAAAAAAGCAAAACTGTAATGGTAGGTACAAAACTCACAAAATGCAATCATTACCATATACTTGACGCAAAGTCCCTGTAACATAAACATGAAAAGTAAACATTAAACCAACTTTACATCAATATATATTAAATATAAAACCTTAAGGCAAGGAGTATGTGAAATACTCACCATTCATAAATAGAGAATAAAGTGGACCTTCCATATTTTATTAGAACTTCACTCACTATGGGGTGCATGTATTCACAAAACGTAATTATCAATTTCCTCTTCCATAAACAGCCTCTTATGTTCACTTAAATGCTTCACATTGATACCTTTCCTTTGGACTAAGACCATGTGTATCCTCACAATTATCATACTTCAAGCAGTCAACTCCCTTGAAACATATATGTACAAAACCTTTGAATATTGTCATTGCAACTCTACAGTCACACTAAGAATATAAAAACCAACGAAGGGGCAGAACAAAAACATTACAGAGATGATTACTAAATGCACGTGTGCCATGGTGAAATCTATTTTTACACTTAGGTAAAACAATTTTGGAACTTATTCTAATCGTGAAGATAAAATTGACATAGAAACAGGATAGATTACTTGCATCTGCACTAAAAGTTCAATTTTGATTGTCCTCAAAGATCTTTCAAGATGAAAATCTATAATGAGATCAGTAGGCCAAGTATCAATAAATTTTTGGAAGATGGGACAAGCAACAAGAACATATGAAGACTCTTTGGAAGAAAGCTGCATTCATGCCACGTGTAAATCATAACATTCATGCCTTTTATTTAAGTAGTTTATCTAAAGTTTTTTTAAAAAAAAAAAAAACAAAGAAGACTAATATGGCACCTAAAAGATGTGAAGTTAATTTCCATCCACCGTTTGTCTTGGTGTCACACATGTGCAAAATACAAAATAGTGAACCAAAGAGCACCTTTACAAAGTAAACTTGCCATTACTTCAGAAATCACTGCAAAGAGAAAGAAAAGTAAATATTACTCTACAAATAAGAACAACTCACTTCCATTCTGAAAATTCAGTCCCCAACACAAAAAACACAAACTAATTTGCTGAGTCAATCTTACTATGTGCCATAAGTGGTTAAGAAAACACAAAATTCAGCAAACACTAATGTTTACTGATCTACTCATAAAATAACTCACTTCTAACAGTGATTTCATTATTTCATTTCTATTTGGCACTCTGTTAAGTATTAACACTGTCCACAATCATCAAAAGCTAAATGATATTTTTAAAATTTAACGTGCTGGTCACTTACATGTACTTGGATCAATTCCAAGCTAAGACAAATCTATCTGACCATCCCGAAGTGCCTCTAGAAAAACAAAAGCGCATGATAACACTCTTCATAAATAAAGTGCACAACAAAAAAGATTTTAAATGCATATAAGTAAATGAAGAACTAAAAAACCTCCGCCAAAAGTAGATATATCCATACCTCTGGTAAGTACTAAAAATACATAAATTATATTTAGACTCAAACTAATTAACATAAAATTTACTAACTTCAAAAAACTGAGATACTAGCCTCTCTCTCCTTTTTTGATCAGCTTCCCGAGTTGCAAGCTCTGTTTTTTTCTTAACATATGCAAACTCCACAAAAAAAATTCAGCCCCCGAAAAAAGGCCTAATCTTAGGAACAACTCTACATTTGCAATGCAATTACATTTGTATTCCAAAATAGAAACAAAAACAGGATATAGTATTTTGATCAACTCTAGAAATTAAATCCTAATACATATTAAGAATTAAAAAAATATAACAGGGAACCTCCACTCCAAGCCATGCAGATCCGTTGCCACAAGCTCTTGCGAAGGACATGATTGATTGTAATCTAAAATAAAAGCTCAATTGAATTACTATGAAAGAACTGTTTAAAGCATAATCTAGAAAGACAGGTATTGGTTGTAGCAACAAGCACAGATTTAAGCATAAGGTTAGGCCACCATATTTTGAGACATTAAATATAATTAATATGATCTGACTCAACTTATGCATATGAAAGCACAAGTGAAATTAAAAATGATTGGAGAAACACAAGCACAGGGTTGACTTCACTGCAGCTGCAACATCCTCATCTTCACAGTCAGCATCGATTTTCACCTTCCCATAGTCTTCTCATCCTCATCTTACCTGTAATGTTCTCAAGCACTAAAATTCACTCTTTAGAGCTCCAATCAAATCTTCCTTCCTCTAAATACCATTAACAAATAAAAAGAAAACTTAATGACATACATTCAAGTTTAATAAACTCTTTTCCAATATTAACAATACTGTAATCAACTAAATTCTCAAATCAGCCCAATTTATAACTTTGACCTTTCAATCCTTGAAGTATTGTGTATATATACTTTCTATCCAGCACTTTGTTTATATAATAACTTTTTTTTACTTTCCAACTCTTCTAAAGCACATGTAGTTAAATTTAAATCATGGATGTACACACACACACATCACACTTTACATCCAAGAATCTACAGTGCAAAAATTCAGAGGTGTAGAATAGATAAATCTTAACTCTAACCATTTTCAGACATGCATCAAATATTCCATAGACATCTTCAAGATGTGTGTCTGTGTGTAAACAATTTGGAGCTTGAATTTGGAAACCAAACGATTCCCCCACCCCCCCCCCCCAAAAAAAAAAAAAGATCTCTAATTCCATTCTAACTTTCATTGTAGAAAACAATTGCCTTCCATAGTTCTAATTTACAGCAATACAATCATCACAATATTTTTTTTACCACTATAATTCAAAATTTCTTCTTACAAACATTTTATCAAACACCTCCTAGACATTAGTGTGAACACTGTACATCTAAGTTCTTTCCTCCTCAATCTCATCCTAACATTTTCTAATGTCAATATATGAGTTTATTAAACTTCCCAATTTTCACATAATCAGGAAAATTTAAAAAGAATACGAAAATTCATTATCTAAAAGTTTTCCCAAGCATCATTATTTATCACCAATTTCCTTCATATATACTCCTCTAGCCATAACTAGTTATTTAAATGAGATCTAATCCTCCTTCAAACCTTTCAACAAACACTTAATATGCATCAATTCCTAATTTACTCAATGGAGCTTCTTATCCATCAATCATCTGCCAAAAAAAAAAAAAATTCAGCATCAACATTTAGATTTATCATACTTTTCAAAACCATAGCCCATCAAGAATCAGATTAAGCTCAAATAAAATTCAAATCAACACTATCCTCATCTTGCACGTTAAACTGAAAATTTTCAGCTTATTTAAACCCTTCCTTCCTCATATATACGACACACATAGCAATAAAGAAAGGGAATAATTCACAATTATTGCAATTTAAACACACATACACGAACAGAACCAACAAGGAGGAGGGAGTTCGAAGCTCCTCACCTTCAATCAGCGGCGGAAAGAGCAAGCAGCACCAACTAGCAGTGCAACCATGGGCCAAAAAGAAAAAAGAAGTCCCGTCACACACCCTCACCGCAACTGGAACAGAAAAGGAAGGAGTCGCTGAGAGAGATGGATGAAGTACGCCTCAGCAACAGACATAATAGGGGAGAGAAAGGAGAAGAACTGACAGCGACACTCATACCTGTTGCATGAACCGAGGAGGAAGAGGAATCTCTAGCTTGTTTGTGGTCGCCGGCGATGGATGAAAAGGAATGCGGCGAAGAAAGATTGGAGAAGATACAAAAGGGGTTTGAAGCTCACTCCCTCTCAGTCTCTCCCTGCTAAAGCTGAAAGGATAAGGGAAAGAAATATCCGACTCTTTTTTTGATAAGAAGAAATATCCGACTCTATCTGATCACTCTTCTTGTTTTTTTTTTTTTTTGCCCCTTCTGCTTCTTCTTCTTCTTCTTTTATGGGGTAGAAATGTAATTTCCAGAAGTTGTGGCAAACAAAAAATTCCTGGCCTCGCACCACCAAGATTCGAACCAGGGTTATACAACAAGATGAATTTTCAGTTTTCACTAAGCCACAAACACATCATGCTAAATTTATCCCGAAACGAATAAAAATATTCATAAATTAAATTATCATAAATTTTGATTTAACTTAACTTATTGAGTTATTTCAACTTAAAGCCTAACAGATCTCCATTAATTATGTTCAATTTAGATTTAAAAATCTACACAAAATAAAATAATATTCAATAGGCATATGTATAAAAATATTAAATGGAGAATTTTATCATAATTTTTAAGATTTAATCAATTAATTCTCACAAATAAGCAGTGACTGATTAAATAAAATATAATCTATTTAATCTCAATTAGCCACAATTCATTAATAAAATGACCAAGTGAAGAGGATAAAAATATAATTTATTAGGGAGCTTGGGCTAAAAAATGATTCGAGAAATGACTAAAATTAAAGGAGATAGGGAGTTTTAATTGAAAATCAAAGATTCATGTTAACAATATAGGTAATAAAAAACTAACAATTTTCTAATTTTTATAAAAATATTTTATAAAATTTTTGAGACAACTCTAGAGACAGATTTGTTAATAATTAGATATGGATTTTCTTGCTGTCTCTAAACAAGTCTCGATGATTATTTTAGAAGAGAATTTAGAGACAAGTAAAAAAAATAACTTAGATAATTAGAGACAAACTCAAGTTGTTTAAAAAATTGTCTCTATTAAAATTTAGCTATGACTTAAAGACGAAGATTTTAGATACCTTTTTATTTGTCTCTAAATTTGTGTGTAACATTTTTAAATTATTTTTACAAAAAAAAGTTACATAAATAATTAAAATATTTGTTACACGTCTCTAATTCCGTTTCTATTGGAGACACATTATAATTTGTCTCTAAATCGAGTTTTTTTTTTTTGGCATTGTAAAATGGTCACACCTTCAAATGTTAGATATTATCAAATGTTATGAATTAGAGATATTTGAAAAGGAAGACTCAATTAAGTTTATCAAAAGTACACAAGGAAGACAACACTCTTGAAACAAAATATCCTCTACTTTCCTGCGACAAAGTACCTTTTTACATCAACTATTCATTATTTATTTATTTTAAAAATAAGCTAATAAAAAAAGATATGCATTTTATTCATTAATTATTTGTTGCTCTCTTTGTTTAGTATGAAACATTTTTCTAAAGTATATCATATTAAAAAACTACATGTAAGGCATTTTAGATCTTTTAAGGTGAAATTAATAAGGTTTTTTTAACACTGCCCTTAATTAAGAGGTGTAATTAATAATGTTTTCTAAAGGAGACACTCTATTAATATATAAATGTGGAAAAAACGAACACACCTTCAATTGTCAGGTATTAATAGAAGTTATCAATTAGATACATTTGAAAAGGAAGTTCCAAGGTTATCAAAAATACATAAGAGGAAGAGAGAAAACTTGACATGGAATATCATCTACTCTCTCGTGACAAGGTATCTTCCTAAATTATCTATTCATTGTTCACAAGGCCAATTTATACATAGATTATAATAGGATTTTGGCTCTCAAATTGCATAATTGTGGCTAATAATATGAGAAAAATAGGAATATATTACTTCACTAAAGAGTATTTTATGTAAATTGAAGAGGAAGAAAGCAAAAGGAGGCATAGAACATATTAGAAAGCAAGAATCACCCTGTCTATTTACATCTATGCATAGACAAAGCTTGTAAAGATCACGATCATCTACGAATGAAGCATCCATCCTTGGCTTCTGGTCCTGGCTCTTTCATAGGTTATATATGGTCACAACCAATGTAGGGCTACTTTATATAGCAGTTCATCAATGTAACTGTGACAAAAAGTGGGGAGGGAGTGTGTGTGTATTATTTTTAAATTTTTTACATCTTCCCACATCGTTTTTATAATCAATAAGAAAACTATTTATTATAGCAGTTGTAAAACTAATAATAACTTTCTACATTTCTTGTAACAACATTGTTTTTTTAATCACTGTTAAAAGCTTTTTTGTAGAAAGTTATTATTAGTATTTTTTAATCACTTTATGTTATCGTTATGTTTTACCCGAGTGAGATGAGTGATATAACTAAGAGCAATGGAGGAAAAGAGAATCATGTTGGTGACCGTGGAGGTGGTAAAGAGAGAGAAAAGTTGATGTAGAGGATTCTTCTCCTTAACTAGAGTTTGTGTTTAGGAGTGGGCTCAGGGAGAAAACAGAGGGTAAAGGGATGACTAGGAATGAGGGTTTCACCTTTAAGCAATGGGTATTCTGTTGTTTCACCTTTGATCATGGATGATTGATGATCATTATATTTTGGTGCAATGATGGAGGCTAAATTTCATCTATGGAAGGTTGATACGCAATGGAAGATTACTGTGTGGGTGCATATACTATATTTGCTGTTTGAGCTTTATAATGTGGAATCATTGAGAAGGATAGGTAATATGGTAGGTAGAACTTTGAAGGTAGACTTGTCCACTTCAATATACGATAAAGGAGTATTTGATAGGATTTGTGCAGAGATTGATCTTCATAAACTCTTTTACTGGGTTTTGCTGTGTTTGGCAAAGTATGGAAGTTTGTATACGAGGGCTTGCATCAAGTGTGCTTCCATTATGGAAAGTATGGGCATCTCAATAAGGATTGCCCATTGACAAACACTGATAGTGAACAAGGTGAGGTAACCTCAAAGGTAAAGGAGGAAAATGGAGATGAAAGTAGGAGGCAAAATAGGAAGAAAATGATTGATAAGATAGTGCAATGCCGTTGTCGATGATGGAGATAAGTCGATTGGAGAAGGAGATGCAGTTGAGTCCAAATATTATGATAATATAGGACTTCTGTAGGAATGTTAAAACTACAAATTCCAAGGGATTTGATAGGGGTATTTATTTGAAGAATCAGTTGAGTGAGAATGTCGGACGAGAAAATCAAATGGAAACATGTGTTAATTATGAGGCAAAGTCAAATCAAAAGCAAGAAGGATATTTAAAGGGGTCAAATGGTAGGATATTTGGGAAGGAAATTAATCAAACAAAAAATGCATGGGTCCCAGTATGACATAAAAGAAAGAATGATGGGAGGAGTAGGCTATGGGATAAGGAAAATAGATATGTGGATGCTGGGGAAAAAAAGGCTATTGTGGTGGCTCAAAATGATAGGCACACACATTGGTCAAATTCTTTTGAGGTTCTAAAATTATTAGATTTAGATAAAAATGGATATGGGCCATTTGATTATTACTGAAACAGGACCTGTGGATGCTCAAATGGAATATTGTAATAGCGGGCCTCCAAACGTAAATACAAATATCCATACAAAGGGTGAGGTTGAGGTAGGCTGAAAAATTATACACTAAGCAAATGGATCATGTAAACTTTAGCTACTGTTCACGTGGATGCATACATGGAAACACAAGGTAAATCATTCTCAAAGGGGCAAGCACTCCTTCTCTAGGAAGTTTCCTAATGAATTATATGATTTGGAATTCTAGGGGTACGGGGTCAAAGTCTTTTTCCCACCTTGTACAAGATCTAAAAAAACATTATATACTCAATTTCTTGGCTATTCTTGAAACGTGAACGAGTGTCCAGAATGCTAGTAAGCTGATAAATAAGTTGGGATTTTCGTACTTTGACGTGATTGATGCAAAAGGATATAGTGGAGGAATTTAGATTCTGTGGGATACTACTATCAAGAAGGTGATGGTGGTTGAAAAGCAATGTCAGTTTATTCATCTTGAGGTTACTACTTTTCAAAATGTAAGCTAGTTCATGACTATCACTTATGCTAGTTCTAACCCTATGGTCTGAATATGCTGTTGAAATGAGTTATGAAGATTGAGTATCAATATCCAAGGGGCCTAGGTCATTAGAAATGACTGCAATGTGACCTTGTTGGATGAAGAACGACGATCAACAGCTATTAAGAAAACTTCTAGTGACAAAGAGTTCAAGAGGTTAGTAAATGATATTGATGTCACTGACTTAGGCTATGTGGGACCTGCACTTAAGATGGAGAGGGTTGAAAGTTTGTATTGATCATTTTCTTGCTAATAACCAATGGCTTTATGTTTACAACAATGCCATAGTGACAGACCTGCCTCGGTTCAAGTCTGATCACTGGCCGATCCTTCTAAGCATGAACGACAGCTCATATAACTTTTGAAGTGAGAGACAATTTTAGTTCATCACCTCATGGGTCCTTCACAATCAATTTAAGGATATGGTGAGAGAGAACTAGTCAAAACATGTTGATTGGTCGGTGAACATCTCTCAGTTTACACAGGCTTATAAGGATTGGAATACAACTATTTTCGAACACATTGAAGCATGTAAAAGATGTTTATTGAGACAACTAGATGGCATCTTGAATGTTATTGTTAAGGGATGGGATGCTGATTATTTTGAAGAGCTTCAATTCTAGCTATGAAAAGAGCTTGAAGAAATGATCATTCAAGATTTATTGCTATAGGCTCAGAAAGCTTGACTACAATGGCAACTATATGGAGACAAAAATTCTAGTCTATTTCACTCTTTTACTAATCATTGTAAAAAGATTAATAAGATTGCATCTTTATAAAGGGAGGATGGGAGTTGGTCTTATGATAGCATAGAATTTTGGGAGATGATGGCCGGTTTCTTTGCTAGTTTATTCCTGGAGGATGGGGTTGATAGATGAACTTTTACCTACTCTATTTTGTCCCCTACTCTTGAAGAGAGCCGACAATCAATGTGTGCCTATATAGCTACCAAGGAAGAAACTAAACAAGTGCTTTTTGATATGGAGCCCTTGAAATGTCTTAGACCTAATAGATT